AGCTCAGTCACTGCTCCCCGCACCGCCGCAAACCTCCAGCCGTGGCCCCCAGTGGGGCCAGCACAGGGGACACAGGCGGGGTGATCCCCGTCCTGGTCCGTATGTCACTTTCCCACATCCTGGGAACCCCAGAGCCCTGGGCAAACCAGGATACCAACTCCCCAGGCTCTCCACCAAACCCCCAATTCTCCCAGCGGAAATTTGCCTCCGTCCCCTTCCTGGGGGCAGAGGCCCCCATGGCCTTCTGGTTGCTCACCTTCCTTCCATCTGAAGGCAACCTGACCTCTGCGGGCCAGCGTCTCAGTCCTCCATGGGGAAAAAATGTCCTAGAGAGCGCCGGGGCCAGGGGACATGCACACTCTAGAATGGCTAGAAGGCCCGAAGTCTGCATCCCAAGTCCCCCTCAGAGCCCGAGGCGGAGACGACCATTCTGGAGGGAGGGGTGCTGGCTCACGCCTTCCTCCTCACTCACAGATCTCTCCCATAGGGGAAGAAGGAAACCCGTGTGTTCTTATTTAAGGTCCCCAACTATTCTTCCGGGTGGTGACTCAGGTGAGCAAAGTCCAAGAAGGCTTTGCACAAGGCAGGTTGGAACGGGGATCTGAAGCCACTGTCATCGGGTGAAGACCCTGTGTCTTTGATCTTAAGCCTGGGTCTTTTCCGTTGAAACTAACTACATGGCACTTTGACCTTAAAAGTCATCTGGGGGGCGCCCGGGTGGCTCAGTTGGTTGAGCATCTGACCTCAGTTCTGCTCACGGTCTTGTGGTTTGTGGCTTCGAGCCCTGTGTCGGGCTCTGTACTGATGACTCAGAGCCTGGAACTTGCTTTGGATTCTGTATCTCCCTTTCTCTCGGCCCCTCCCCTGCTCGCACTCTGTCTCTCAAAAATGAATAAACATTAAAAAAATAATTTAAAAAAATTGGGGGGGCAGTGGGTGCTCGTGTATCTCAGTTAAGCATCTGGCTCTTGATTTCGGCTCAGGTCATGATCTCACGGTTTGTGAGTTTGAGTCCCGAGTCGGGCTCTGGGCTCACAGCTTGGCTCCCTCCCGGATCAGGACACCAGAAAGGACATCAACACGAGGTTACTGTGCTCAGCGTGGGTGCTGGGCCGAGGGCACCACGCAGGCCTGCAGTCCCTGTTGGGGAACCTGCAATGAGTGGAAAGCCGTGGCGGGCACCCTGTCTGGACAAGACCCAGCACCGCGTGGCTCACCCTAGGTCAGGACTTCTGCCCCTACCCTTTCTGGTGCTCTGGCTCTGCATCAGCTGGTGAAGCCTGTGGACTCCCCAGGGAACGGTGTTAAGTACGTGGGCTGTGATGTGCAGCCTAAGGGGGGAAACCTATTGCATTAGTTTGCAAGGACTTTGTGAGCCTCAGAAACATGTTGCCTTGAAGTTCTGGAGGCAAGTTCAGGATCAAGGTGTCGGCAGGCCCATGTCATCATCACAATTAGGGAAGGGCCTGTCCTGGGCCTCTCGCCTGCATTTTTTAAATTTATTTATTTATTTTTGAGAGAGAGAGAGAGAGAGAAAGAGAGAGAGAGAGCACGGAAGAATGAGATGGCAGAGAGAGACACGCACAGAATCTGAATCCGAATCCGAGGCAGGCTCCAGGCTCTGAGCCATCAGCACAGAGTCTGACACGGGGCTCGAACTCACAAACCGCTAGATCATGACCTGAGCAGAACTTGGAGGCTTAACCGACTGAGCCTCCCAGGCGCCCCTCTCCTGTCTTCTGAGAGTGCCCTGGCCTGTGCGGCGTAGCTTCAACATTCCCTGTGTGTGGTCTGTGTCCACATCTGCCCTCTATGGACACCAGTCAGGTTGGGGGAGGGGCCCATCCGACTCTGCTACGACCTCATCCTAACTGATCACATCTGCGAAGACCCTCTTTCCAAAAAGGCCACAATCTGGGGCGCCTGGGTGGCTCAGTTGGTTAAGTGTCCAACTTCAGCTCAGGTCATGATCTCACGGTTCATGGGTTCGAGCCCCGCGTCGGACTCTGTACTGACAGCTCAGAGCCTGGAGCCTGCTTCAGATTTTGTGTCTCCCTCTCTCTCTGCCCCTCCCCCACTCATGCTCTGTCTGTCTCAAAAAAAAGAGAAAAGGCTATGATCTGTGGCACTGGGGGTTGGTTAGGACTTCAACATAGGAGTTGGGGACACGGTTCTGCCTGGATTACATACGAAATAGTTTAGAAACCGAATTTATAATCTGTACTTTTACATCCATGCTTCTCGACTCGCACATTAGTAATGTGATCTGGTAGCCAAAGAATTTCTGTAATTTGGACGCACACAGTCATGAGTTTGTGGTGCTTCGAGGTATTTATGACTCTAATGCCATGAAAACACCCAGAGAGTCACAGAGGCTGATACCAGTAGGCTGTTTCCCTAGGTCCCTAGTGAAGAAAATGCTGTAATTGAGAGATTCTTAAAGTAAGGGTATAATTTTTTCCTCACTGAAGCATACAGACCCCTGAATTCGATCCTGAGCCCCAGGTTGAGAGCACCTCCCCAAACCCAAGCCCAAAACCCACAGAGGCAGCGAAGCAGGGGAGAACCCAGGGCTGGGTGTTCTCGCTGGAAATTAGCCCCAGGCACACCTGCATCCAGGGCAGGGCCCGAGGCTGGCAGGTGCTGTGTGTCCGGAGGCCGGGGGTCAGGTGGGGCACGAGCCAGGGAAGCCACCTGTGTGCTGCTGAAGACTGTCCCCCCTCCTGTGCAGCAGGAGCTGGGACAACGGATTTCAAATACCCACTTTCCGATGACCCAGAAGAGCTCTTCCCGAGCTGCCTCATTAAAGAGAATTGCTGCTTACAAGCCTCCTCCTTCCCCCACCAGGACTTGCCTACAGCCTTGGGTGCTGAGCAGGGATGGTCTGCCACGAGGCATTGGAGGTGACGCCAGGCTCGTCCCGCATCGGCTCCCGCTCTGAGGAGGAGGGACAGTCGGCCACCATCGCTGGCCCCGGGGAGGCTCCCAGGGCTCCCCGTGGCCTTCCTGTCCACTTTTCCACACCGGGGGCTGGGACACGTGAAAGCTCTGACAGCCGCCTGGAGACAAGGTTCTCAGGGGTTTATTACCCCATCCCAGATGGGCTCCCCTTCCCAAAGCCCCATCCCAGACACAGTCTGGCTCCCGGGGCTCCAGCTGGGTGTGCCGGCCAGAGACTGGGTGCAAATCCCACTGCGATGGCGGCAGCCACTCTGCAGCCAGGCTCTCTGGTTCTATTAGACCTCAGTTCTATTAGCCCTGCGATCACTGAACTGGGAACACACACGCACCACACTCACCCGCACGCTCACATCCACAGCCGGCTGGTTCCGCGCCCTGCCGCCAGTGGTGTGAGCCCCTGCGGGAGGAGCTTTAACCTCTCAGCCCGTTTCCTCACCAGCAGGAAGCAGACAAGAACGCCCACCTCTGGGGGTCACTGTGTGGATGGATGAAAGGGGGCAATTCTGCAACGTGCTGGTGCTGGCACGCACATGGGGCCAGGCTCTGGAAAGGGCCCGTGTCCCACTTCAGCAGCTCTGGAGGAGGGGAGGCAGGTCGGCTTAGAAAGGCTCCTTCCAACTCCTGACCAGGCCGGGAGGTGGGAGCTGCTCCTTGGCCTCCAGGATCCACCGCCCCTTGACTGAGTCACCGTCTGAAGTCGTAGCCGGCATGTCCCGCCTCCCCTGGGAGTGCGCAGAGGTTACGTGCGCAAGTTTGGGGGATGCCCTTAAAGAGGCTTGCTGGTCACCTCCTCTTCTCCCCTTCCTACCAGCTGGAATGCAGCAGAGATGGCAGGAACTGGGCAGCCACGTTGGGCCAGGAGATGGAGGCCTGCAAGTTAGTGGATACAGCAACAGGATAGGAGGCGGCTGGGGCCCAACCCTGTGGAGCTGCCCTGGCCTTGGCTCACTTACGCTCACACGGAGGCTGCAGAAATGAGGATCACACTTCTACTTACCGTCTGCCGTGCCGTTTGGCCTGTGGCCTATTAGAAAGTCGTCCCCACCTTCTGATGGACATTGTCTGGGTCTCACGCCGTGCTGGCTGTCATCCCACTGGCAGGGGCGGGGGCAGGCAGTGTGAGGGGCTGGGTGTCCCTCCCGGGGCTGTGCCTGGGGACTGTGGAGGGAGCTGGGCGGGCGCCCCTGCTGGGCCGTTCTAAGCTCGCCACACGTCTGAGATCGACTCACTAGTTCAAGGGGTGCTCGTTCAACCTGGCAAGAAAGGAGCTGCCACCCTCCTACTTGAGCATCCGAATCAGCTCTTTATGCTGTTACAGGCCGGTGTGCACACCCCCGAGGTTCAGGGCACCCACTGCCCTGTGCCCTTGCTCCTAAGGGTTTGTGTTAGCACCACCCTACCCTCAGCCGGTGCTCCCACACAGACCAGCGCATTGAGAGTTGCCCTCAGGAAGGCAACGGATTCTGCTGCTGGAATAATCCGAGGAAAGGAAGCCCTCGCATCTGGGTGCCAGCGGGTCCCTGGGGAGGGGGTCTCCGCACCCCCCGACTCATTGAAGGGGCAGACACTGTGGTGGGGGGACGGCGAGGGCGGACGTCAAGCCCGGGCGAGTGGGGCAAAGCCCACATCTGCCCACGTCTTTTGTCCCAAGACTGGTCCCAGCACCCAGGGAAGCAAGATTTCAAGATTTTTCTCAGCTCTTTTATTAAGTTAGAAACAGAAGGAACACAACTCGGGGACACACCACTGCAAGGCCCGCTGTGCCGTGTGCAAAGTGCGCTTACCCCACCTCGGCCGCCCTGCATCCCGCGGCCCCGGTGGGCAGCCTCCCCCCGCAGAGCCGTCTCCCGGCCCCGGAGGCCAGCCTCCGCTGCGGAAGGGCCTGCGGCCTCCCGGGGACCCGGAGATGCACTCTCTGCTTCCGGCTTCTCCCCGGGCGGGCGAGCCCAGCCCCAGGCCTCTCCCGGAGACAGGCCCTCAGTCTGCACTGCGGGCAGGGCCCAGTCACGCACAGCACCTGCGTGGGATGTGGGGGCCCCGCCCTGACCGGCCAAGCGGCACCGAGCGAACGGCAGGCGGCGGGGAAGCCTTGGGTTTGGCGCAGGCCGCTTCCCACTCCGGCGGCGCCCGGCAAGGGATGATCCAGAAACCCCGATTCCAGGTGTGAGCGGACCCCTCCAGGGCCCCAGACACGGGGGACACGCTGAGGAGGGACCCAGCGGCTGGGGGCCGGGGACCACGGGCCTTGCTGCTGTCCTCCATGCCGGGGGGCTCTAGAGTGACCCTGTGGTCCCCTCTCACACCTGCTCCTGGTCTGAGAGCCCGCACGGTCATGTCAGCAGATGACAAGGCCATTGCCACCTCTTGGGGTGGGCTCCCAGGACAGGCAGGCTCTGAGGGGAAGGCGGGGTGGCCCCCGAGGGCATCCCCCCGTCTAATAGGGCTCGGGGCTCGGGGTCCCGTTGTGATGGGGCTCAAGTGTCTTCTGCACCTGGCACAGCTGGCCTGACCAGGATGGGGTGGGGAGGGGCCCGGGGGTTTCTGCTCTAAGACTGGGGTCTCGGGGTCATTTACTCAGGAAGCCCTGCAGGTGGTGTGAGGGCGCCCCAGGGGCTTCCGCCTCCATTCCCGCCCAGGCAGCGTCTGCTCTTGGTGCCGGGGGACCCTGCTTCCACGAGGCCTGAGACACCCTCCGCTGGGTGACTTTACCACCACGACAGGGAGACGGCGAGGCTGCCTGCCCGGCTCCTCTCAGCCCCCCAGGCAGGATCTGCGGATGTGTCTTTGCCCCGAGGCCGAGGGAGTCCTGGGGTCGGTCCGCGTCCCTCTGGAAGGTCCTCTCCCCTGCAGACCACCTGCAGACCAGAGAGGAAAAGGCCTCAGGCAGACACACGGGGCTCTCGAGACAGCTTCTCTTCCCTTGTCCGAAGCTCGTAGCAGCCCTGAGAATGCTGCTCCCAGAGCCGGGGGGGCCGGGCCTCCTGCGGTGGCAGACAGGGTCAGGGCCACTCTGTGGCGGCGAGGGCTGCGGCCATGGGGCGGGGAGAAACACGCGGAGTCTGCAGAGGAAGAGGGAGGGTGGGAGGGGGGCAGAGTATGAATCGAACCCACACGGTTCTATGCCAACCTGGAACAGAGTTACCATCAGAGGCCACTGTGAGGAGCTGCAGCCTCGGCTTCGAGAACAAACGGAGTTTGCCAAAGGGGGAAGCAGGCAGGAGGGACAGCGTGTGCAAAGGTCCTGAGGTGGGAATCTGGCATGTCTGAAAATGAGGAGGGAACGGCAAGGGGGTAGTCAGAGAGCAGGGGGGCAGGTAGGGGCATGCCAGCCACGTGGTTAGGAAGAACCGGGCAGCTGTGGGTGGCAGCCAGCACATTCATTCATGCCCTTGACATTCACTGTGCAGCCCATTGACCTGGGCCCTGAGATAGACTGTGGGGGCTGACAGTGGTGAATGAGGGGTGACCTTGTGGTCACCAAGCTCACACTCTAGCACTGGCTTCTCAATCAATGCAGCCTCTGCTCTGAGCTTCGTGTGGAAGCTGAGGGGACGGATCTCAGCCTCCCGGAGAGGATGAAGTGGTCTAACGCACGTGGAAGGCTCTATGTGGAATCTCCTCGAAGCAAGTGAGATAACCCAACAGCTGGCCAGCGTGGTCATCTTTAAAGCCTAACCCGCTGCGGCAGCTCAGCACCACTGTGCGTGAGCTCGTGTGGAGGTGTGGCCGTGGGCGTGTGTCAGGAAGGGATGCCCTCGGCCGGAGCCGCAGGAACAAAGGGCGCACTCGTGGCAGCAGCGGGCCGTGTTGGACAGGCAGGCCGCCTGGAGTCCTGCGCGGAGGGGCCGGGGGTTCTCCCTGATGATTTCCCGGCACCTGCTCGCTCACACACCATCTCAACACCCAACGCCACTTGCTCTGGCAGAGCCATAGGGGCCATGGCCTCAGAGGTGGCCCTGAGCAAGCAGGCACACTTGTGCCCGGGACATGGATGACGTCTGGCCAGCATGCTAACATCTCACGGTGGCCCCACAGAGGCACGGGTGAGCAGGCCCTTGGCACAGGCAGGCGGAGCCGGCTGCCCGTTCTGCCAACAGGCAAGGAGGTGAGACACTCTGCAGAACGTCCACGAGCGATGGCGCCATTCTTGGTCTTAGAGCTTTGTCCCATCTGACGCTTGTGCCTGGCGCACAGTGCGTAAGGAGTATGCGTCAGGGGCTTACATCTACTGGTCAGTCTGCACGTACTCAGCATGCAGAACTTCAGGCCAGCCCCCGGATCTGTGGGGCTTTCTTCCTTCAAGCGGGGTACGCCCCTCCCTCCCTCACTGCCAACGCGTCTAGAGGGTTGGCTTGAGCTCTGTGGGAAGTCCCCGGAAGGTCAGCACCCCCCAGGAGCTAGGCGGGGCACCCACTGCTCCCTCAGGGGGGCAGTGAAGGCCCCCACAAGTGAGAAGCTGGTCACGAGGCCTCGAGCACCCCGAGACACTCTAAGGTGGCAAACCCAAACCTCCAGGGCCTCTCTGCCCCACAGCCTCCCGACGCACGAGGCAGATGGGGCGATGTGGGGTGCTGTTCCACTGGAGGCAAGGCCCCACCGCTGCCCCCAACTAAGCCTCTAAGCCACCCACGCCACGAGACCCTGACCTGGGGAACGGGGCCCCTCTGGGCTGTCCTGAGTCCCTGAGGACGAGACGGCACCGAGAGACACCCTGAAGGCCGAGGGTACCGGGGAGCCACATTGTCTGGCTCCTGAATCCCCTCCCAGGCCACACAGCTGCCCCTGGACTGGGACAGCCAGGGGCCACCCCAGTTTTTGGCAGGGGCTTCTCTGAGGCCTAGTCTCCTCCTGTGAGAGGGGACCCTCCTCCACCTTGCAGAGACGGGGCCAGTGGTCGCCCCACACTGCCTGCACGTGACAGGCCTGTCCTGGCGAACCCCCTTCCTGCTCTCACGGTCCTGGGGGCGGCCGGAAGGCCTGCCCTGCCAACCGCGGCCAGGGAGGGCGCCACTGTCCCGGTCCCTGGTGTGTTTCAAGATGTCTGAACGCCTGCCCAGCACCTTTCTCAATGCACCAGGCCCGTCCGTGTAGATCTGTGCTCTGGGATTTCCTCCCGGTGGCAACTTCTTTGAAGGCAGGACAGAATGTGCTCAATCGGCCCTCCCGTGGCAGTGACGGAGCCCCTCGCGGGGCCCCGTGGGGGACAAATGGGCTCAGCCTTTCCCAGAGCGGGGATTGGAGGGCCCTCCGCCCCCACACCCCAAGTGGCTGGGGCCCAACAATGCCTGTGGAGAGGCGAGCTCCTGGTGGCCTGGACTCCTGCCCAGCGTGCAGGGGAGGGTCAGGGGAGGAGACAGGAGGGCGCTGTGCCTTTAAAGGGCTTGATGGGGGCAGGGGGCTCCGTGGGAGAGAAAGAGAACGTTCACGGCTGATCCTCACTTGGAGGGTGACCCAGGGTAACGCAGCCCAGGCTCCAGGGGCCTCCCGGCCGCAGCTGGCTGCCGTCACCCACATACGGAGAGCTGGCTGGGACACTGGGGCAGGTCTGGGGCTCGATCCTACCCCGGCCCCTCCTAGCCATTCATCTGATGCCAACTGCCTACACTCTCAGCCTCAGCTGCCGTCCCTGCAACGGAGCAGCTAGAACAACCCGGTGCAGACGCAGGCACCACTGAAGCCACGACTGGTGGCCGAGATGGGCAATTGAGTGCCTGGAGATGGCCAAGGGGACGTAGGTGATGGGGAGGGGAGGCACGGTGCAGGTGACCCCAGCGGGTGGCTCCTTCAGTTAGAGCCTCGCAGGATGGACAGGGGGTTAGTCCAGGCACAGGGGCTTCAGATAGGTCCCCCCCCCCCCCCGGGTCCTACCCTGCTGCCCAGAGGGAAAGCCTGCAGGACTTGTCCTCTGGGCCCGGGAGACACAGGCCTGCTCTTCCCGCCCTCCATCCCTGGGGACCGCGTTCCGCCTGGGCTCCTCGCACACTGCAGCAGGGTGCTGGGACTCGGCACCCCCACCTCCATGCTGCTGCCCCAGCCCCCCTCCCAGCCCTGCCCTGGCTCAGGACGCACCCCCCTCCCCAGCCTAGTGCTGGCAGCGACAATGATGGCTGCCACTGCAGCCCCATTTCCTGGGGAACTGGGGGAGGGCCAGGAACACCCTCACCACCAGCTTGCTGCCTTGCTGCTGTGTCACGGGCCCCTCCCCAGAGAGCCCAGTTTCCTCCCCTGCCTTTGAAGGGACCTGGAGGCCACCCCAGCGGGCCTAACGGGACAGAAGCAGGACAAGCATGAGCAGAGAGCGGGAACCCCCCAGGGTCAACCTGGGGGGCAGGGCCGCGGGAGGGGGTCTCTCAGGGCCATGAAGGACTGTAGAGAGGCTGGCTGGTGGCCCACATAAAGGAGACAGCTGGGATGCGGGACTGGAGCGGAAGCCTGAAAGTCCCTCTGCCCCTGATGCAGGTGGAGCTGGTGCAGGAGCTCGGAAACGTGCAGGCGTGCAGGCCGGAGCCACTCACAGCCTCGGCCACACAGCACGTTGCTCGGAGGGTAGGGCCCAGGCGTGGCGCTCCAGTCCCACCCGGGGGCCCAGGCGTGGCGCTCCAGTCCCACCCGGGCCCCAGGCGTCGTGCTCCAGTCTCAAGCAGGACTGGCTCCATCTGGGCAATTAGCCTCTTTGCACCCGCTTCCTCCTCCCTGAGATGGGGCTGACGACAGCATCCCCACCAGGGGCTGGGACAGAGATGAGAGAACAAAGTCCCCGCTGCACTCAGATGGGCACACACAATGTGCCTCCTGACTCTGGGCGATGGACCCTTCTAGAAGGAAGAGTTGGCCTGGGGACGTGGAGAGGCCCCCACCACCCAAACATCCCCAAACCATCATGGCCCCCATCCTTCTGCATCACTGCCTCGTGTAAGCGCGGACTCTGAACCAGCCCTTGCCTGACCTCTTCAAATACTGTGAGTAACACAGTTTTCACACCTGTATTTGAGATGGCAAGGCCAAGCTCGGGGGAGTTAGGTAATGGGGGTCAAGCAGCCTGTAAGAGCCAGAACAAGGAATGATGTGTCCTTGGAGTGGAAGAAATTCCCAGAAAGGTAAAGGGCTCGCCAAGTCCCCCGGCCAGGCCCCACCCTCTCCCACATGGGGATGAACCACTGTCCAGGTTCATAGGGAGGGGCCCTCAGGCGCCACCAGTGAGCACCCCAGAGCGCAGGAACTGGGAAAGGACAGGAGGCGCCACCATGCTCTTAAAGCTTACGCCCCAGGGGAGCCGACAACTCGGCCCCTCGGATTTTTCTCTCAAAGATGGAGGGAGAAGATTAAAACAGAACAGGACAACTCAGAAGCTCCCCCGTCCCCCAATCTAGGCTGGCCCTCAGGAGCCCAAACACCCTGGACAAAGGAGGCGTGTGCCCTGGGCCTGCCTTGCTGGCTGGCAAGTCCCCGTAGGGGCGTCAGAGGCCGGGTCGAGCGGGTCTGGCTGGGGCACCTGCTTGCGCAGAGGTGCAGTCCCAGTGAGGGCGGACCGCGCTGCTGTGGACAACCTTGGGCACGCAGGCCGGCAGCCACCACATCCCAGGGCAAATTAGGTTTCCAGTCCGGGCTGGCTCCCGAGGGGGTTTCTGTGATCTGCACTCAAGGGGGCACCTGGCCTGAGAGCCGATCTCTCTGAGCTGCCAGAGAGCTTCCAGGAGTGGGTGGGGGTGGGGGTGTCTGAGGCTTCCAGGTCAGTCTCGGAGCTGGGACTGGTCACCAGCCCTCCTGGTGAGGACAGCTGGCCTGCGCTGCAGGCAGGGCCTGGGATCTCCCACCCCAGGCCACGGCCTCTCAGAGCCCCTGGGACCCATGCCTCCCTGCCTCCCACCCACCCTGGGGTCCCCAGAACTCAGCCCTCAGGACCTGCTGCTCCTGTGTCAGGTGTGAGGGGCCCAGGAGGAGGCTTCTCCAGGGCCTGACCGAGGAGGCTGGAACCAGAACTCAGACCTTGTCCTGCGTCTACAAATCCACCAGCCCCTACTCGGGACCCCCTAATCCAACCTCAGGGCTGGCACTGCCCCTGCCCCACAGGGGCTGCAGGGAAGAGCCCACCTTGCCCCTCAGAGGCCTGTCCGGATGAGCTGGTCCTTCCCTCCACCTGACTCTGCACCTGCCCTCAGACCTTGGGCAAGTCCCTCCTTGCGTCTCCCCCCCGAGCCCCCCAAAGGGCACCTGACTGTGTCCCTTAGCCCCCTGCATCCGCTGTCAGCTTCCCCCTTGTGTGAGGCTCTCCTGTAACAAGGGCACGAAGAACCAGGGGCGGGAGCAGTACCTAGGCCACAGCCCCCTCGTTCGTCACGCCACCGCGCCGAGGCGGCCTCTCACCACCTCGAGGGACTGCCTCCACCGGGGACCTGGGCCCAGAGCTCCAGCATGCCCCTGGCCTCTTGGGCGCTCTGTCCATCGTCCCTGTTCCTCGCGGGTCCCTGGGGTGCTACTCACACATCAGATACACACTAGACTTGCCTCGTATGGGGTGTGGCGTGGGCTTTAGCATTTGTGTTGTAAAGAAGTCTGGCCTTTGTCCCTGGCTTCTGGGAGATTATCGGTCATACCCAACAGACTGTCTCTGTCTAGGGCAGGACTGGGGATGGGCAAGTCCCTGGGCCTTAGGGTCGGGGCTCTGGGTCATGCTGTACCAGCTGACCTGGATGCAGAGTAACCACGTGGGCCATCAGTCGAGCCTATGTGATGGGGCCGCGGTAAAAACTCCGGACGCCAGAGCCTGTGTGAGCCTCCCCACTGGGGAATGTCCTGTGCGTACGGTCACTCACTGATGTGGGCAGTGACACGGTCCCGACCGCACAGGGAAAGGGCTCTGCCCCATTCCTCTCCGTCCTTGGCTGATCTCAATCTGTATCCCTTCCCTGTACTAGACCATGACTGTGAACAGTAACAGTCTACAGTGTGTTCCCTGAGCCCTTCCAGTGAATGCTCGGATCCGAGAGTGACTCTGGGAAGCCCTAACCTGCCATCATGTTAGAGATGAGGATGCCGTTGTGGCCTCAACTCCACGTGGTATTGTCAGAGGACCCCCAGCGACTGCAACGTGCAGGCTATCTGAGGTGGCTGTCCCCATGTGGCAGGGGGCTGACACGCTTTGCTCAAGGTCAACTGCAAGCAAGGGGCAGAGCAAGGCTGTAGCTCCAGACCTGAGAAAGGGGCCGGAGCACCCGGCACCTGCTGCCCCATCCACCCTCCCCTGGAAGACACAGAGACCCTGACCCAGAGAGGGACGGGGCCCGGGGTGCTGGGGGCTCACCTGGCTGGGCTCTGCACGTGCTCCTCACGAGGGCAGGTGTTTCCACGTGCTGACAAAGGCAGTGGGAATGAGCGAGTAGGGCACCGTGGTGATGCAGTTCCACGTGTCCGACGTGGGGTCATAGCAGTCCAGGGTCTTACACCTTTGGGTCCCGAAGTAGCCCCCCACCACGTAGAGCTTGTTGCCCGAGGCCAGGGCGTGGCAGGACATGCGTTTGGCGGTCATGTCCCCGATCCGCGTCCACTGGTTGGTCTCGCAGTCGAAGCGGTAGGCAGAGGCGGCCGTGAACTCCGTGTCACCTCCCATGATGAAGATCTGGCTGCCCAGCACGGCGGCTGCCGTGTACCGCCAAGGCTGCGGACACTCGGCCTTGATGGTCCACCGGTTCTCCGAGGGGTCGTAGCACTGGACTTTGGACACCATGTCTCGGTGGATGCTGGTCCCCCCGAAGACAAACAGCTTCAGCTTGGCGCTCACCACCGCAGCATTGCTGACGCCGTCCCTCAGCGGGGCCACCATGGTCCACTTGTTAGCCCCGGGGTCATACTTCTCTACCTGCTTCAGGGAGACAGACGGGGAGGCCGGGAAGACACCTGCCAGGGACGTGTGTCCCCCGACCACGTAGAGGCAGTTCTCCAGCTCAGCAGAGCCGTGGCCGAAGCGGGCGATCAGCATGGGTGCCGCCTTGGACCACTCCTCGTGCATGGTGTCGTACACCCACACGTCCTTGGACACCCCGTTCTCAGAGCCCCGGCCCCCGGTCACGTAGACCTTGCAGCCGATCGCCGAGGCGCTGAACTCCTTCCGGGGGCTGGGCAGGTCCGCCTTGGGGATGATCTCCTTGGCCTTGTGGTCCACCTGGTAGATCTTGTCGCACATGAAGGTCTGGCCGCCCAGGATCAGCAGCGTGTGGCCCGCCTTGCGCGGCCGGGCGCAGGGGCTGGTGACCACCCCATCGTTCTGCAGGATCCTGGTCTTGCAGCGGAGCGCCTCGTCCACGATGAGCCGGGTGCGCTCGTCGGCCATGAGGAGCGCCTCCCCGGAGACGGCCTCCTTCAGGCAGTCGGCGGGCAGCAGGGCCAGCCGCACGCTCCGGAGGAGCTCGGGCAGATGCGCCTTGCGCCGCTCCAGGTCGTGCTTCACCCACTGCAGGATGGCCTCGAAGACCACGCGCTCATCCTCCGTCTCCAGCTCGTCGCTGGAGATGAGGTCCAGCAGGGTGTCCTTGGACAGGCTGTTGAAGTCCTCGCTCTGCCGCACCGTCTCGAAGTGCACCAGGCACATGCGCCACGAGAACTCGTACAGCCGGCGGCACTGGTGCGCGTCTGACAGCAGCATCATGCCCAGGCAGTTGGAGGGGAAGAGGTTCTTCTCCAGGAACTCGGCGGCCGCGTCGCGCACGTCGTGGAACTGCAGCATGTCGCCGGCCTCCAGCAGCGACTCGGCGTTCTCCTCGTTGATGACGATGCGCGACGAGTAGGCGAAGTCCAGCAGCAGTTCCAGCACCTCGGGGTGCAGGTTGTCCTGGAAGTTGACCGTGTCGTCCCGGCTCTCCCGCAGGCCGTGGCTGAACATGGCCTCGAAGTAGCGGCTGGAGGCGGCCAGCACGGCGCGGTGGCAGGGGAAGGCGCGGTCGCCCGCCCACAGCGTGACGTCCGTGAACATGCAGTGCTTGCGCAGGGTGTTGAGGTGGGCCAGCACGCAGTCGGGGTGGGAGGCTTTGTGGAAGAGGGTGATGTTCATGGACCCCGTGCTGCTCCGCGACTTCCGCGTCTCATGGACGCTGACCGACATGCTGAGCCGACCTGCCGGGGGGCAAGGCCACACAGGTGAGAGGGGGCCCCTGGGCAGCTCACCCTTCAGCCTCTCCCCTCTCAGCCCCGCCCCTCCCCTCCACCACGTGGCCAGCACCACATGGGTGGCAGTGGCTGGTTTAACCTCTCCCCTTCAGAAACTGATTTTGTTGTTTTGGGACCAGCTGCAGAACCGAATGCCTTTGGCCTGGAGATGAGCCACGTCTGGGTGAGTGTGAGCTGTGGCTGCCCACCCCGTGGCAGACTGCAAGAGAATGCACATGATGTCCGGGGCCACTAAGCACACAGCATTTCAGGGCGGTGCTAAGTAGCCCGTGGCCTGGCCTCATCCCACCCTTGAGCTGCCCGTTGGGGACACAGCCCTCGTGGCCTGATTCTACAGCTGGGGAAGCCAAGGCCCAGAGAAGCAAAATGGCTGCCCAAAGTGCCAGAGTCGGGATCCCCGTGTGGGCCGTCCAGGTCCAAGCCCAATCTCTACTCTCCACAGACCCGAGGAGGCTGATGCTTTCTGGGTTTTCTGTGGCAGACTGGAAACAGGAAGCCCAAGGAGCCACAGGGCCCAAGACAGAGTCCCCACCCCCGCCCATGCTCCCAGCGGGATCTGTCCTGAGCTGGGCTCCCAGCAGCACCAGCCAGAGTCCCTCAGCAACCCTGCCCTTGGGAAGTTCCCAAGAGCTGCCATTCCAGCCTCAGGGCTCAGTATAGACACACTCTCCAAATCCAGGGTCTTCAGAGGCCCCCGGACACACCGGGGATGAGCAAGGGTTTGAAGGCAAAGCTGGGCTGCTCAGTGGCTCACCTGCAAGACACCTGCTCAATTCTGGTCCCCAAACGCAAGCCACAAAAAAGGCCCAGGTGACAGTAGGGCATGCTCACTACGAACGCAATTCAGATTTGCCTTGGCGGAAGCAACTGGAACACCCGCAGCCAAATGAGCCTCCTCAGTCCCTACAGGCGACTCTAGGACCTTGGGCCACAGTGAGCACCTCACCTGCCTCCCTCCTGTGCCCTCCTCTGGCCAGGACTTGGCCCTCAGACGGCTGCTCCATGTGGCCAGACAGACACGGGCTGGTCACGCACTTGGATGTGTGGGATTCCACGGCATTTTCATTAAAGTCGACAGACAGGGGCGCCCGGGTGGCTCAGTTGATTAAGCATCTGACTTTTGATTTCAGCTCAGGTCACAATCTCATGGTTTGGGGAGTTCGAACGCTATGTGCAGAAACTGCTTGGGATTTTTTTTCTCTCTCTCTGTCCCTCCTCTACTCGTGCTCTCTTCATCTTTCTCAAAATAAGTAAATAAAAGTTTAGAAATATTAAAAGAACTTTTTTTAATGTTTACTCATTTGTGAGAGAGAGACAGAGAGTGAGCAGGAGAAGGGCAGAGAGAGAGGGAGACACAGGATCTGAAGCAGGCTCCAGGCTCTGAGCTGTCAGCACAGAGCCCGACTCGGGGCTTAAACCCACGAATCATGAGATGATGACCTGAGCTGATGTCAGACGCTTAACCGACTGAGCCACCCAGGTGCCCCAAAGCTTAAAAAAAGTATCTTAAAAAACCAAACCTCATCTTTTCTCCTTTTTAATTTTCAAAAGTATATACTTCTCCCAACCCCCACTCCAAGTCAATTTTCTGCTTAAGTAATAATCTGGTAAGGGAAGGAAGTGATTTCATGCTTCAGTGAAATTGTAAATTAGTGTCCAAGTGCAGTGCTGTCTCTCCCGTTCACTCCTCCCCTGGCAGAGAACCAGGAGAACCACAAATTGACGTGATCCGAGCTGCCTGGGCAAAGCCCCTGCTCCCTGGGCTGGGGCTGGGGCTGGCCTGCTGTTCTGGCCCCCAAATTCCAGGCAGACCTTGAGTCGGTGACCCGCCAGGGACACCGCTGTGCACACCAGCCACTGCAGCCACGGGGCTCGGCGGTCATGCGCTCAGCCCACAGGGTGGGGGGTGCAGCCTGCACGAGAGGAAGAGAGGTGGGCGCAGGCCCAGGCTGGACAGCGTAGCTCCTGTTCAACCACCGTCCTGGGCCACCCCTTCCCTGTAGCAGGGATTCCTCTTCTATAAAACTAAGTCCCTGTCATGCTTGGGCCTCAGGGGTACTCAGCTCTTGGCAAGTACTGACGCAGCATGACCTCTGAGCCTGGCCCTGGGGCTGCATGGCACCGGGATCGGGAGGCCTCAGTGGCTTGGCCCCCAGAGGCTTTCCTGGCAGCTCGGCACTTACCCCAGATCTGAATTCCAGACCCTGCGACACGTTTCCCCAGATCTTGCTCACAGACACCTCCAAATGTGGACGTTCATCGAGTGACTCTATCCATCCTGTCCCCACTGTGTCTGGGCTGACGATGGCCTTTGACCTGTGCACCACGCTGGGGGTGCGGCCCCCAGGACTCCAATTCAGGGGTTCCGGTAGAGACTCCCTACGGAGGGGATTAAGGATGGGCCAAAGCAGGGCTCAAAGAACGAGAAAGCATCAAAAGTCAGGGCCAACACGAACAGAGCAATCACGTTTGCCCTGAGAATGAGGTCGAGTGGTGACCTCTCCAAGGCCAATGCTGAGTGGGCAGCCCAGGGCCCCAGCGTTGACTGACGTCTTGCTTAGCACCCAGATGCCTGCCTGCTGATGCAAATGCCCTAAACAGGCCAGGAGCCAGGGATGGGCGGATGCACCCAAGCCGGTTCCCACCCCCAGATGGCGGCCTGTCTGGGCACCTCCGTGCCGAGGGCAGAGGCACCTGCCTGGCCGTTTCCTCAGATTGTCCCACCCCCTTGTGAGCAGTGCCAGCCTCTGAGCCAACCTTCCGGAGACAGCAGCCGTCAGTCATGCACGGACTTGCCCCAGACCATGAGGTGATGTCCCAGAAGCATTGTGATTCCCGGAGGTGAAGGGTCTCATCACCAGTTTACAGATGAGGATGCTGAGGCTCAGACACAGGAAGGGAGTCATGTGAGCTGCAAACCTGCACCCAGGCCCCTGGGTTCCCAGGGCTGCACCTCCACTCCAGGCTGGCTGGCGTGGGAGGACGGGCCTAAGACCCAGGGGCCCTGGGTGCTCCCTGCCCTGTGTCTGGCTCCTCACCTCAACCACACAATATCTGGAAGAGGGCCACCTCAACCATAACGTGTCCAGGAGAGCCCTCAGCTTTCCTCCAAACCCGCTGCTCCCCAGCCCAGGCCAACGGGAAATGGCACCTTACTCAGGCCAAATATGCCAAGGGCCCTCGTCCCTCCCTAGCACCAGCGCTCGGCCCTGAGCAAGTCCTGTGGCTCCTAAGTGAGTCCCTGAGTCTGACCCTTCTCCCCACCCCCATCCTTCCCTTGACCGCTGGAAACCCCCGACTGCCTTCTGCTTCTGCCTCTGTGATCTGTCACTCCATCCAGAGACCAAAGTGACGGTCCCATCACACCTAGCTCAAAACCCTCCAGGGCTGTCCCAGCGCCCTCAGTGAATCCTGTTGTCACTGTGGTGGCCAGGTCTCACGTGAGTTGACCCCTCCTCACTGGCTACCCCTGTCATCACATGCTGCCACTTCCCAACCCGCTTGCCCCCTTGAGCCACACCGGACTTCTTACTGGGCCTCTGGACCTTTTCACAGGCCGCTCCTTGGGCTGGAATGCTCCCCTGCCTGTCTCCAGGCTCACTCTGTCACCTGTGACCTGACCACCTTGCTGAGGTCACCTCCTCTCCACACCTCACCCCCTTCTGCCTTCCTCACAGCACCCACCACTACGTAACATTATGCATTTGTCTCCCGTCTCCCCAACCTGCTCAAGGTGGGGACCATGGGTGGGGCTAACTGATGTGACCCCAATACACAGTGGGACCTGGCACAGAGCGGCCACTCGATGCGACTGAATGAACCTGCTGGCCCCTGCCTTTTGACGAAGCCTGGAGACACATACCGTGCACGAACCCCCTTCACCTGACGTCTGCTGGAGCGCTCACTCAGCCGCCTCAGAGAAGACGAGGGCTGGGCTGGAGAAGGTGCTCGAGGGGGCCGCCACGAGGGACACGCACGGTGGACACTCACAGCCTCACTCGGGTCAGCACTGTATACCTGTTCCCTCTGGTTCAGATGTGGACCCCAAGGCTGGGCACCTGGGCCCAGCTGGCCAAAGCAGTGCGTCACCGGGCCCTGGGGCTGCCTGAGCGCGGGGCCCAGTTGGTGTGCTGTCCTCCCGGCCACCACGATGGGCCAAGCCAACTCTTGTGTGCGACATTACCAGAACTGCGGGGAAGGAAGCAGGTGCCGACAGCGCTGGAACAGGGCAGGGGAGGGAGTGGTCGGAGGCCATGCCACCCAGGACGGGAGCTGCACAGAGAAAGCAGAGCCCGCAGCCAGGCTGCCTTCCTTCCTGTCTGGAGGCGTTTCTGTCCCTTGTCACCTAGAGTCTCAACCAGTACAAGCATTCACTGCACATCAGGTCCCGGGGATCAGGGGCTGCTCTCGCTGCTATGGGGTCTTCTACCCTCTCTACCTGCGGGAGCCCACCCCGCACACCGACAACAGGCTGTAGGAGGTAGTTTGCCATGTTCACTACCAGCCCCACGCAGGGCGGGGGATACGCAGAGTGTAGGACCCAGGCTCCCGGTCCGTGGCAGGGGTGGGGTGGGGTGGGGTGGGCGTCCCAGTGTGTGCACCCGAAAGCATGTCTGCCCAGCACCCCTCGGCTCCCTGGCTCGGAGGCCATGATAAATCAGACGCTGTCACGCTGTGCGTGTCACAGAACTATTCCAATTAGCTAAGCTCGTCCCGGGCTTTGATGGATTTAAGGCGCGTGAAGTAAAAGCCACGCCCCAGAGAGCGACTCCTCATCCTGCGAAGAGGTAGTGCTCCGCCTCAGGCCACACCTCTGCTCCCCATGCTGCGTCCACGCCTGCACGGAAGCAGTTAACACATGGTCTACATGATGTTCCAAAGACCCCAGCGACAGGGCGCGGAAGGCCCCGTTTGCAGAGAAAAATGCACCGCGGGAGATCAGGGCT